TTCTGCGTTTTCTATACATTCTGTATTCTGACAGCCACTGTCTTGCCTTTTACAGCTGTGGGTTTACGCCTACTTCCCAACGCTCGCTCCTGAGCTGGAGGTTATGACACCTCTCGAGATCCCTTATTCATGCAAATTTGAGGGTCGTTTCCGGCCCAGGCCCCGGGAGACCCTGCCATACCTCAGGCAGTTCTTTGACACAGTGCGGCTGACCGAGGTAAACCAGAACTCTCAATTCTTCATGCTTTCAGCTTTGATTCATCCTACATATTTCTGACATCTAACCAGTTTATGCATTTGCTATCCGCAGATCACTTGGCAGCCATGGATAGCCATATCAAGGTATGCTCGGTTCCAGTTCCCTGGGGCATGGGGCGCCTCCTAGTATAGGGTTCTGTTTGAGGGACCAGTCGGCAGAGCCTACTTTCTCAGGGATCGTTTCATGCGTCAGACGATGGGCAACGCCGAGCAGGAGATCTCCTCACCGCCTCCACTAGACATGCGGTCCACAGAGAAGATCACTACCGAGGAGGTCGATGACCTTATGTTGGGTTCTGACGTAGTTCTTTTCTTGGAGGAGGGGGAGTACGCGACATATCGCCATGCATACTTGATACCCCCATTGATAGGTGTCCGTACTCCTATGAGGAGAGCTGCTGACGTTCCATCATCGAGTCGCGCTCGAGCTACAGATATCCTTTCCACTAGCAGGGCTAGCATATCGAGGGGCAGGGCCAGGTAGTGCCGCAGCTTCCTAGTAGCCCATACCAAGGCTAAGCAAGCCTTTTCCAACGGTGTGTAGCGAGTCTCATACTCCAGCATCTTGTTGCTCAGGTAGTAGATGGCTCTCTCCACTTTATCCTCTGATTCTTGCACAAGCATGCAGCCCATCATAGTCTCAGTTACTGAAAGATACAAAATCAACGGTCTCCCCGGCTCTGGCGGTGACAATACGGGCGGGTTCTGTAAGTATTCCTTGATCTGTTCAAAAGCAGCATGGCATCGGCCATTCCATTGGAATTTCTTTCCTTTCTTCAGGAGGCCAAAAAGTGGCTCACAAGTCAAGGTTAATTTTGAGATAAACCATCTCATGAATTGCACTTTACCTAGAAAGCCTCGCACCTCCTTTTCAGTCCTTGGTGGTGGCATTTCTAGGATAGCCTTGATTTTGGAAGGATCGACTTCGATACCTCTCTGTGTAATCAGAAACCCCAGCATTTTCCCTACTGTAACACCGAACGTACACTTCTGAGGATTCAGCCGCAACCGGAATTCTCTGATCCTTTGAAAGAACTTTTGCAAGGCGGTGTAGTGGCCCTCTCTTTCTTTGGACTTGACAATCATGTCGTCCACATACACCTCAACCTCTTTGTGGATCATATCGTGCAATATTGTGGTCGCGGCCCGTTGATATGTAGCTCCAGCATTCTTCAGCCCAAATGGCATTATCCTGTAGCAATACGTCCCCCACGGGGTGGTGAATGCAGTCTTTTCTCGGTCTTCAGGTGCCATCACTATCTGGTTGTAGCCCGAAAAGCCATCCATGAACGAAAGCAAAGCATGCCCCGCTATGAAGTCCACTAACTCATCGATATGCGGCAAGGGGAAGTCGTCCTTCGGACTAGCTCTATTCAAGTCCTTGAAATCCACGCATACCTGGATCCTACCATCCTTCTTCGGCACCGGAACGATGTTGGCCAACCATGTTGGGTATTCGGATACCAGTAGGAAACCTGCGTCAATTTGCTTGGTGACCTCTTCCTTAATCTTAAGAGCCCAGTCCGAGCGGATCCTTCTGAGTTTTTGTTTAACGGGTCGGGCCTCGGGGTCAAGAGGGATCAGGTGCTGTACAATCTCAGGATCGATTCCAGGCATGTCTTCGTAGGACCACGCGAAAACATCTTTGAAATCTTTTAATAAAGCGACTAAGTGCTCGCGTTCCTCCGAAGACAACGTGGACCCAATCTGGACCAGCCGCGGGTCCTTCTCAGTACCAATATTCACAGTAGCGATTTCATCAACTAAAGGTTTAACAAATCTTTCCTGCTCTTGATCAATTAATCATTGCAAAATCGGAGGAATTTCTCCCTCGTCGTTTTCGTCAAAATTTTGAAAGTCCTGATTTAAGCAATATATCAAAGGCACAGAAAAGTACTCGGAAACCACATCCACATTATTCTCATTAAGTACTTCCAAACCGTCCGATTCTTCTGTTACAACAGACTCAAAGGAGAAAGAAAAAGACGACCTGGACAGGACTGTGGCATCCGGGTTATCACCCCTAGGAATACCGGACTCAGACTCAGTTGAGCTGGAACCTGATTCCGA